AGAAATAGGAGTAAACAGTTAAAAATTAAGTACGCATGTAAACGAGATCAATTGACATTTCATTTTTTTTAAATACAAATGCTTGTTGAACATCATAATTTATAAATTACTATATAGATCAATGAGGTAGCGATAAATTAATTTAATAATGTCAATATCTTTTCACCATTTAAATTGTTGTGCTTATGTAATCTTGGTTAGAGACAAAAAGAAATTAGGAGAATTTTTTTTAATTTGATTGATAAGATTTTGATTCAGTCAAATTTTGTCACATCATTTGTTGATAAATAAATTTGTAATTTGTGATGTATATGTAGTACAACCAATAATTTATTTTTGCAAACTGCTTGCCAATGTTCGGTCATCCTATGTTTCAAAAATTTCTATATGTCAACTAATTATTAATACAAATTACTAGGGTCGAGCATTTAATTATTAAAATATAAAGCCCCTGTTTGGTATTGATTAAAATGGGATCCACAATTTTTCAACCACATATTTCATCAATTTTTTAATCAAATTCTACAAAAAAATCTTATTTTAGTCCCTACCAAATAAGAGCATATATTGAACCAATATGTAAGAGTCTATTGAAGATATAAATAAAAACATATGGTTCATTTGATACAGTATTGTACCAATACTTAACAAGATTTAAAAAGATAAATTTTTATTTATCTATCGTATTTTTGTGTCATGGTCAAAATTATATACAAAATATTGTTAGGGGGTTTATATATAGCTTCCTTGCATTGGCCTCTCTTGTCCATTGTATTAGAAGTAATTAACCTTCAGATATGTAGAAATCGTATACAATAAATGCATGAATTGATTTACTAGTTGTTATTCCACGCTCTAGGTTTGCAAAATCGAGTCAAACTATCGAACAAGCCTCCACCGCTTGAAGGACAATGATCAGCAACCAAGAAAAACTGTTAAGAGATACATATCCCACATCGATAAATGATGTTNAGAAATAGGAGTAAACAGTTAAAAAATAAGTACGCATGTAAACGAGATCAATTGACATTTCATTTTGTTTAAATACAAATGCTTGTTGAACATCATAATTTATAAATTACTATATAGATCAATGAGGTAGCGATAAATTAATTTAATAATGTCAAAATCTTTTCACCATTTAAATTGTTGTGCTTATGTAATCTTGGTTAGAGACAAAAAGAAATTAGGAGAATTTTTTTTAATTTGATTGATAAGATTTTGATTCAATCAAATTTTGTCACATCATTTGTTGATAAATAAATTTGTAATTTGTGATGTATATGTAGTACAACCAATAATTTATTTTTGCAAACTGCTTGCCAATGTTCGGTCATCCTATGTTTCAAAAATTTCTCTATGTCAACTAATTATTAATACAAATTACTAGGGTCGAGCATTTAATTATTAAAATATAAAGCCCCTGTTTGGTATTGATTAAAATGGGATCCACAATTTTTCAACCACATATTTCACCAATTTTTTTATCAAATTCTAAAAAAAAAAAATCTTATTTTAGTCCCTACCAAATAAGAGCATATATTGAACCAATATGTAAGAGTCTATTGAAGATATAAATAAAAACATATGGTTCATTTGATACAGTATTGTACCAATACTTAAACAAGATTTAGGGCATGTTCGGTATAGCTTAAAATCCAATTAAAATTGAAAATATGGCCGTTATTGGGTCCCACTCGTCTAATAAAAGTCAACAATAAAGGCTAGTTTTTCAATTTTAATCCAATTTTAATCTCTACCAAACACGCCCTTAAAAAGAGAAATTTTTTAAAAAATTTATCTATCGTATTTTTGTGTCATGGTCAAAACTATATACAAAATATTGTTCGGGGGTTTATAATATAGCTTCCTTGCATTGGCCTCTCTTGTCCATTGTATTAGAAGTAATTAACTTTCAGATATGTTGAAATCGTATACAATAAATGCATGAATTGATTTACTAGTTGTTATTCCACGCTCTAGGTTTGCAAAATCGAGTCAAACTATCAAACAAGCCTCCACCGCTTGAAGGACAATGATCAGCAACCAAGAAAAACCATGTCTGCCTTTCACGCAAGCCATGCACCAACACCGTGCGACCACCATACACTACACTGTGCTACCACCATCACCACTGAAGATTCAATCTCCTTCGCAACATAGAACATCTAACCCTTGGAACCACGAAAAAATCAGGAGTTTCATTCACAATAAATAAATAAAAATCAAGAACTTACACTAAGAATTGAAGACAAGCAGTCGAGAGGAAGGAGAGAAAATCGAAAGAAACGTTTAGAGAACAAGAGATAATAAAATTGGAATGATGAAAAATGTCTTGATTTTCTCCTTTTATATGATAGCCCACTACCATTAGTCAAGTTTTGATGCAAGGGTCAAGAATAATCCCAACTATAAAGTCATTGAGCAACAACTTTATAAGTTGTTATACCCAAAAATGACACTTTCACTTAGGTCGGGTCGACGTGCTAATTTTGATGTGAGAATATTAGGTCCTATTATATATTAATTTTGGGCAAAATACCCTGAAGTAAAATGAACACATGCTATCCTAAGGTTGTTTGGCAACAAAAAATCCAATAGAAATGACTAATAACTAATACTCCCATTTATAGTTAATATTCGACATATTCATTTATTTAAACTTAGCCCCGTTAAACCATTAAAATAAATTCTATTTTTTGAAATGCATTCTCAATCATACTTCCTCATAATAAAATATTTTGCACGTAAATTCAAAATTCTTTCCTACTTTTTAACCATACATTACTCCAAAAAATCCTTATTCCAAAACTCATTTCCCAAAAAAAAAAAAAAATCTCATTTTAATGGTTCTCCAACATGGGCTTAATATTCAACACATCTTCATTAAAACTGGGTGAAGGAAAAACTTGAATCCACGAGTTGTGTATTACAATGTCATGTTGAACAAAATTATCTTAAAAAGTTTAAGATATTAAAGCATGAAGACTTTCATTTATTTAAATTTAATCCCAGGAGTTAATTTTATTCTTTTTATTATTACACAATTTTTGAACTTACTATTCATGAAAGTAAAATATTTTGTGTAGATGGAGAGAGTTTTAAATAAATAGAGGTGTCTAATCATTGATAATTAATTAGTCCTGTACTGTGCCAAGAATCATCATAAATGCAAGTTATTGCGATCTTGACTTGCGAAAACGAAGTCTAAAACAATATTATACTAAAGTATTAAACAAAGTGCCTGAACTGAGAGGCAACCTGCGTGGGTCCAGGTAATTCTATTATTGTTTGTCATACTTGTAACAGTATATCCCCGGGTACACCAGTTAGCATCACATACGTGTGCATCCCAACCTCCACTCACCACCCCACGGGTGGGCATGGGTGGGGAGTTTATGCCTGCATGCTCTATATAAGGGTTGTCCTCTGTTCGAAATATGCACCATCGAGTTTCTTTGTGTGTCAAGAAATCATTCCACCCTACTATCATTACAGATATACAGCATTGTATAATTCTCTGAAAATAAAAGGTATATCTATAGGTGTGTATTTTTACAGTTCTTCTAAACATCCTCAATTATTTTTTTGTTTTCTTAAGGATTTATTACAGTTGCCGTCTAATTTCCTTTGGTTTTTTCCCTAGAAATGAACATGGGTTCTGTCTGAATGTTTCTTTGCTAATTTAATCGGTGGAAGAATTCAGCAGCAACGCATTAAATCCATTCATCAGATGAAACCTGTTTATTACTTCCTCTCTCTTCATTTTTCCTTTTCAAGCAAGCATTCATGAGTTTCACCTCGTCTAAAAATTTAAATTATTGTTATATTGATTAATTTATGAATTTATATTTTGAGGAATGATCTCCTAAACGCCTTTGCTTAGTTTATGCTAAGCAACAATAGCATGACACACCAATTAATCGACGTGTATAAGCTAAGCAACAATCCTTAGTAGATTTTTTCTCTTTATATTTGTATCACGTCATTTCACGTCGTGCAGAGTTGATGTTATTGAAATTTTCATAAATGTATACCTCATGTGCAAGCTTTTGAACCACCTCATCTAATATGTTAGGTGAAAAGGGAATGTATTTGTTCACGTAATTTTAGTTTTCAATATATGGGCGGCAGCAACAACAAAACACAATAATATTTCATTCACCGAATATAACATATGAGAGAATTCTATGGTTATTTTTGATGCAGAAAATGTGGAAGTTGAAGATTGCTGATGGAACCGGGCCGTGGCTTACAACAACCAATAATCATCTTGGAAGACAGCATTGGGAATTCGATCCTGAGGCTGGAACTCCAGATGAACGAGTCGAGGTTGAAAGGCTGCGTGATGAGTTCAAGAAGAACAGATTTCGAACCAAACAGAGTGCTGATTTGCTGATGCGTATGCAGGTAATTAAACATACTATGCCCCATTTTGTTGGAGTTTAAAATTAGATTTTTAATAGATTTTGATAAAAGTTGATAAGATATGTGGTTGAAAAGTTGCAGGTATCATAAAATGTGTAGTTAAAATTAGTTATTAACTTTGACTTAAATTAAAATCTGGAATTTAGCCCTCGTTTGATGAACATTCTTTTGGAAAGAATGTATTTTAAATAGTGATGTGATGGAAAATATATGGTTAAAAAAATAGGAAAATTTTTGAATTTGCTTGTA